ACCCAGGAGGAGTTCCTCCTCTCCTGCTGTGACAGTTTGTCCTTTAAGAGACTTTCTCTCTCTCGTTACAGAGACGGGACCAAACCCTGACTTTCTCTGACAAGAAAACAAACATCGGTCACCAGCAGGCGCATTAATGTGCAGTAAAGTCGAGGCGTAGCAGTCCGAACCGAGAATGTAGTCATGTGACCTGAACCTACAGTCGCCAAACTGAGCCGCCACGGCTGGGCGGAGCCACACGAATCCGACTGAAGGAAGTCAAAACAGGCCGCGAACATAAAACCCTCTTCAAGATATACACAGATAAAGAAAAAAAGCTGCAGATTATTTATCAGTCACTCAAATACGTCTACACTGTGGTTCCGTATTGTTTTAAATATTTTAAGACTAGTTTACAATGGCTGAGTTTTAGTACTGACACCAAAATAGTTCTTTTTTTTGGATACCTTTGAGAAATGTGTTGCTGAACTCAAGCCCCTATACTAGAACTTTAAATAAAATAGTCTAAAACTGTTAAATTATGACTTCAATTAGGAGCTGTCTGATTATAGAATATGTAAAGAAGATTATGAACTTCACCAGATATTCTTGGGACAGATTTTAGTACTTGTGCCACAGACGCTTACTGCCAAAAAGTATAGAGGTTGTAAACCTTGCTCTGGACACTTTTTTTCAAATATGTAAGCTCTCCTCAATTGAAGACCTGCTTATTCAGGCAGATATTTTATTATCTGTTACTCTATTTTGTGAGATGTATGTACACAGTCTACCTTATGTGTTTATTTTATACTCTAAAGCACTTTGAGCTGCATTTGTGTCTGAAAGGTGATCTATAAACAAAGTTATAATTATTATTTTGCCACGACTGTAACGCGATGTTCACTCATACAAGAAGAAAAGCAGACTTGTTGACTGATATAGAAAATTAGTTTCACTTTGTTTTCTGTTGGCCTTTTTACTGGGAACTGCACAGATCTTGTTTAATACGAGAAAAACAAATACTGATTTTATAAATATGGATGATGCACAACGTTGACTGTTCACATATGAAACATTTAAACTGGCTGGTTGCCAGGAGAAAGCCTTGGAAGATGAGGAAAAACTGTATTGATGACAGCAATTCCCTCATGTCTGAAGTACACAGTTGTTTTCTTTTCTAATCTACAAATATGGACGTTTTCCTTCAGCCTGGAACCTTGTTTGGGATATTTGACAAAGAAGAAATATTTCCCCGAGGCGTTTTATGTAAGAGGTGAAGCTCCAGCGTCGATACTTCACCTTCTGCCTGATTCTGACGCCAGAAAAACCAAAGAGCACACGTGTTTCACATCGGACACCCACCCAGCCGTGACGCCCTGCGAGGCTCTCTGATGCCAAAAACACACTGAAGCCAAGGAGGGTGATGGGATACGTGACACGGTTGCAGAGTGGAAACCTGCTTTAAAAATGATGGGAGGGTGAGGGAGGAGAAGGAAGGATGAGGAATCCAGAGCGGGGCAAAGAGGAGGAGGAAGCTGAATGATTTCCTCGTGCGTCTTCCTCCGCTGAGACAGATGTGATGGCTTCAGCAGATGTGTCTGAGCAGAGAGAGTTTACACGGACTTAAATCATCTATCATTCTGGCCTTCTGCAGTAACCTGCTCTCTGAAACATCCAGCAAAGGAGAAACCATTTCCTCCATAATGTTCAGGAGTTAAATTAATACTGATTATTTGTCCTCCACTGATCTTCCAGGTCTTAGTGAGTTGTATAAAGCATGCAGTGTCTCCTGAGTGAAGTCTGATAAAGGGATCAAGTGACTTGAATCAGTGTCAGTTCAAGTTGAAGACTTGAAGTTTGAAAATGAAAAGAATAAGAGGGTGTGGAGTTAGAAAGAAGTGAGCTCGCTTCACCCTCCCCTTCCAACTATGAAGGAGAAACTACAGAGGAAACACGAAATGCATGAAAAATGGAAACAGGCCAATCTAGAGCCAGTTTGGTGGCGGAGAGAGAGAGAGAGAGAGAGAAGGGAGCTCACGGAAACGTTACATCCTTTCGTAGATGTGGGAAGTTACATTACAACCCGTTCACATATTGTTAATACAGAAGTGATTAATACATAAAAATAATATTAGCGCAAAAAAAATGTTTTAAAAATTCTGTTTCTACAATATTGAACAGCCTCAGCACAGCTGTTGTTGTTGTTGATTTCAAATACTTTTCATTGGTTAAATTAATGTAAAACACACACAGACGGGTGATATAATAGCATTAATTAATGCAAAGCATTTAAATGAATAAATATGGAGACAGGAGCGACGTGTAAAATACTTCAGAATCATAAATATGGAAACTTTAAGCGATTCATCGATTATTAAAATAAGTAAATTTAGTAAATCATTTAAAATTTAAATTTAGATCCATTTATTTTGTTCATTATTTAAGCTCTATCTAAATATATACCTAGCTCTACTCAGGGCCCCTTTTTCAAACATGATGCAGACTTGTAAAACTAGCAGAGCATTTACGGGTCTCTCTCACACACACACACACACACACACACACACACACAGAGAGAGAGAGAAGAGAGAGAGAGAGAGCTCTAATAACCTCACACCTGTAGAATAGCAGGTCCTCACACCCCCATTCAGGAGCCTTTGATGTGTGCGTTTCTGAAAAGAGAGGGGAAGCAGGAGAGAGAGAGAGAGGGGGGAGGTGGTAGAGAGACAGAGAGAGAGTGTGTGTGTGTGTGTGTGTTTGGGTGGTGGCGCGGGGGGTTCAGGAAGGAATGTTTCAGCAGAGTAAACAGTGTGAGGCTTCCTGTAGAAAAGACTTCAAAGCCAGAGAGAGGAAACCAGGATAACACACACACACACACACACACACACACACACACACACACACACCATCAAAGGCAGGTAGGAGTCATCTATCAACACAGGAAAATTAAAACCTGTAGAGCACACACACACACACACACAAACATCATCAGATCATTCTACTTTCCGCATTACAAAGTTCATCATCACATCGCTCACTTCTTTAAAACACATCTGTCCATTAATCTGTAAAATTTCATCTTTCACGCTGATTAAACGCAGAGCTGAAAAGATTAGTCCACTACTCCATTAGACATATTAGAATATTGATTGCCAGCTATTTGGATTATTGATGAACACTGTGAGGATTTGCTGATTTTCTTTGTCGTACATAATAAACTGAACCTCTCTGAACCTTTAAAAGACTGTAAACTGTAATGAGCAGATTTTAAACAGACAATCATTATAGAAAATCGACCCAAATGTTAACTGAAGCCTCGTCTACACGCAGATGATGTCGCCTGAGCTCAAGACTATAGAATTACTCTATGGTTACTTTGGTAATGTATAAGTCTGCAGTAGCTCCACTTTCCCTCATTGACAAAGGTAACTGTGGCTGTTGAGTGTTCATTATGTTGCACCGTAAAGAATCTGAGGTCTGGTATGTGGTTTAGCAGTGACGTGATCCAGGTCTCTGGGTGATCAGGGATTAAATTGTGACAGTCTGAGTGAGAACTTCCCACAGTGAAGTCTGGGAAAGGTCGAGAGTCAAGATTTACACTCAACAATCGAGACCAAACAGCAGGAAAACCTATAGGAAATATCTGTTGCAGGAAGAAATGTTTTGCATGAAAGTAAAAAAGTAAAGAATATTATGGCTCCATGTGAAAAGTTGGAGGTATCTGACGACCAGTTTCCAGCAGGAAAGTTTTGTTTTTGAGGCTTTAAATCGGATTTTAAACGTATCTGGTGACTGAACCTTTTTCAAAGTGCAGACATTTTGAACTCAAATGATGGTCTAGGCTAAATAGTGGTTCATTCATGGCCAGAAACAAAGCTGCTGTGAAGTGCAAAAGCAGAAAGGCGGTGCATCAGTTCACATATTCCCTGTTTTCCACATCAAATGTTTTTAGCAGAACACACAAAAGGCAGGAAATCAGCTTTTACTACCTGCAATTCCCCTGAACCACAAAACTCAGATGGAAAGAAAGGGAAGCTCTGTGTTTCATCCTTCTGAAATTAAACCTTTTCACCAACATATCAGCTTTAACTATTGAAATAAACCCTCAATCTTGGCTGTTGGAGTTAAGGTTTTATTGCCATTATGTGCTCTTCAGTGTATTGTGTATATGCCGAATGTAAACAAAGATGTAACAGATATAGAAAAATGACTTTAAAGATTTTAAGAGTTGCTACAAAGTGTGGAAACTTTTAATTACACTTTTCTGTAAAGGAGTTTGGTTTAAAGCAGCGGTCTACTACTACAGACAGTACAGGTAGGTGTGGGATAAAAAAAAGGTTTATATCTTATTACAGTTTGAACAGGTTGTTATCTGAAATGTGTGTTTCCAAGGCTAATAAATCACATAAACACGAGCTTTAGGAGCCACTTTTCAAGTTAGTATAGACTCAATATCAAACGTATTTTTCGTATTCAAGTTTCTCTTATTCACATGCTGTCTTTTCCTAACGTGAACCACTTAAAACATTGAGATTTTACTGGCTTCAGGTCCTCTTATGATATATTTCACGTGTGCCGATTTTAACAGGACACCTGACTTATTCAGCATATGTTTACAGTCCGCTTCCCGAGGGTCTGCAGACCGACAGCAGTGCGACCGATCTTTAAAATGACGCTTTTTAAAGTAGAGTTTGGTTTCTAACGTTGCGTAAAAAAAATGGGTCCGACAGACAGGTGAGAAAGGTAGCGTGACTGACGCAACCTGACTTTAAAAACACTGCGGGCCGCTTTGAACTAAACTCTATCTTTAAACTGCAGTTGTTAGTGTAGTTAGACAAACTCACTGTGCAGTAATATTAACATTTAAACAACAGGTGAGACAGAAAACACTCGGAACCATCTCCAGAAACTGAACTTTTTTTTTTTTGGAGACTTGAGACGACGCAGCAGCAGCAGCTTCAACTAACGTCAGTTCAGAGTCGTTAAAACAACAGTTTAAAGCACAAACTGTGTGTTTTTACCTTGAAACCACATCGCTCCTGGTTGGCTCTTTTGTTGCCTGAGGTCGTAGATCCACAAGAAAAATATAAAACCAGAAATAACCCGCAGAGAGAGATGAAGAAACTCCGAGGGGCCGCCATTCCTCCCTCCAGTCTGAACAACTCTGAGAGGGCGAGAGGAGAGAGGAGGAGGAGGAGGAGGAGGAGGGAGAGAGGAGGTGTGTGTGTGTGTGTGTGTGTGGATTAGTGTGTGTTCACTATCTTTGTGGGGACCAGTTAGGGGTTTTAGACAGTGAAGGTGAGAACATTATGTCCGGTCCTCACTTCTTCAAAGGGGATATTTGAGGGTTAAGACCTGTATGGAAGACAATATCCGCCAATAAGAGAGAAAAAAACATATATATTTACAAAATGATGAGATAAAGAAGTTAGATTTTTGATTTACTAAATCATTTAATCATTTTATAAAGCTGTATTATCTGTATATTTTAAGTGGTGGAAAAGTACATTTCCTCAAGTGGACTACTGCAGGGGTTCCCAATAATTGAACCACAGGATTTTATCTTATAGGTCCACTGTGTAACATTCAGGAGGATCTATTGGCATAATATAATATTCATAGGTCTGTTTTCATTAGTGTATAATCACCTGAATATAGGTATCTTTATGTTACCTTATGATAAGCTGTTTTTATACAAACCAGACTGTACTGCACTACAGAGGGGCATTCACATTTCTAGTTTCTCCTTTGGGCTTGGAGGGGGAAGGTGAAGCGAAGGAGTTGCAATGTACAATCACTCAGACACACTAGATATCACTAAATCCTACACACTGGACCTTTTAAGTCTTCACGGTTAATCAATAATTAAACTAGGATTCTATTTTGTCTCTTGTTGTAAAAAATAAATGTGATTAAAAGTTTAAATATTTTATTTCTTCTTTTGCTGGGGTAATGGTGCTGAGGGGGCTGCCTTGTTTGATTTTAATCAGTTTTAAGAGTTAAAAGGTTAGAAGATTTGTATAAACCATTGTAAATAACTATTAAATAGGCCATAGATAAATAATCCTGACCATTCAGAAACCATGAATGTCATACATGACGATCATTATAGGCAGACTTTCTCTCAGCTCCCCCAAATATTTTTACTCCACATCCGTAACCAATAATTAAACCAGACAAACATATCAGAAGTGAACCAACTACTTGTTATGCAACATTTTGCCCAAAACTAAAACAAACTCAATCCAACATACCGTCATATATCGAGCGATGCATTAAAAATAAATCACTGAGTGTCTAAAATGATGTCTAAAAAAGCATCTTCTGAGGAGTAGGCACTGACGTATATGAGATATACTGACCTATAGTAAGTTAGATGTATAGCAAGGTGTAACATCCCCCATTGGTTTGCATTGGAGCCAGCACTTACTGTGTCCTCCCTCTTGTGGTGAAAGGTTGTAACAACAACTCCCCAACTCTGCTTCAACACCATCTCTGTGCAGGAAAAAGGAACAAAACTATAACAACATAAAATAAAATGAGCATTAAGGAACTACTTACGAATCAGGACTTTAAACTCTAACATTTATTAAAAGCTTACATGATTCAAACTGCAACCACACATAACCACAATCTTTTCACATAAATTTAACATTCAGAGTTATATAAATACAAAGTGTCAGTACTGAATGAATAAATAAGACATGTTGGAATAGATGATAATATAAATAAATACAAATACAACAATAAAAATGTGAAATAAAACTCAATATGATAAAATGCTTCTGCTTATTTTCAGTATCACTGAGATTATTGGAGGGATTTTATTTCATTCCAGCAGTTATTTATTTATTTATTAACAATTAAATCTTTAGCTGACAGTTGTGTCTTTCTCTAAATCTCAAAATTAAACAAATCTCACGTTTAAAAAGCTGAGACCACCAAATGTTTGTTGGGAGTTTTGCATGAAAAATGACTTAAACAAGTTAGTAGTCAAACAATTCTTTAAGCTCATATTTTATATACTAATGAGTAGTTTAATATTTTACATTGCATCATATTTTAAAAGTTCTTAATATGTTTTGTGTTTAAAATCAGAATTTGTATTGTATTAAGTAACTAACAGCTGTCAGATAAATGTAGTGAAGTAAAAAGTAAAATATTTCCCTCTGAAATGTAGTTGAGTAGAAATATAAGTGAATTGGAAACATTCAATCTTTATTTAAGTACAGATTTGAGGTATATAGTTACATCACATACACCACTGGATTTATTGCAGGACTGTTGTATTGGACCTGTGCTTCCCAACCTCACTAGGGGTCCCGAAGGCTTCATGGGGGAGTCACGAGTCTTCTTGATTTCAAGGCGTTTAATAAAACTATAAATATACACTTTAGGCCTTTATCTCAGCATTTTGTTCACTTCTGTGAATAAAAGTAAATGTACATTGTCTAATAGAACAATGACCAAGCATCAGGGACAAGAAAACATGACATTTGTCAGAAAGTCTGTATGATTGTTAAAAATGATTTAAAGAAATACATAATACAGACAGAAAACTGTATAAAAAGATCCTAAAAAGTAAATAATCTGCTCGAAATTCAAATCATATCAGGTTAATTATACAGTTTTTTTAATAATGGAACATAATATTAAATATCCATACAAAATGTCACTCAATCAGGGGTTGTCAGTTTAATAAATGATATAAAAGGGGTCCCTGATAGAAAAAAGGAACTAGTGTATTAGACTTTCTATTATTAGTATTATTAGTTCTGTTATGCAAATGAGCTCCTTCAGTTCCAGATTTTATGAACCGTTCTGGAATCTGTTGTTGAGGAATTCACACACTCTATAAGTGTCTGAGAGAAAAGCAAACATCCGAGAACATCACAACCAAACTAACCTGCAGAGAAGAGTGAGAAACAAATCGACTGACGTCTCAAAATGAGTGAACCAGGAGAATCTTCCACTTCATTAAACTCTCGCAGACGTGAGATGGAGAAAAAGATGAGTGACATGGCCTCTGCGGTCTTAACTGAGTTCCGCTTGGGAGGAAAACTGTGTGACGTGGTGATGAAGGTGGGCGACGCTGAGTTCAATGCCCACAAGGTCATCCTCTGTAGCTGCAGCTCGTACTTTCGGTGAGTAGTCTATCTCAGCGGATATAATAATATAATATATGAAAACTCCTCGAAGCAAACAGATGCAAAAACTCTCAACATGATCACAGTGAATGAACTGATACTGAAAACCAACTATCATTCATGTCAACACACTGTTTCTGACAGAGCAGATGTGTTTGTAGGCGCAGTGGTTAAGACCCCCACTAGGGGACGCCAAAGCTTTAAATTGTTATACTTAAAGTTTAGATTATTTAATATAAACTTGAACATAAGCTGTATTTCAGAGAGCCTTCAGTCTCTGCTGAACAGCCTTATTTGTACTGAGACAAAGGCATACAGTTAAAAAAACCAAAGAGCTAATAGAGCAGAAAACACTGAATTTGTAAAAAAAACCCGAAGCCTATTAAGTATGTTTGCTTGTTAAAAATAAAATAAATACATAATACAGACTGAGAATTGTATAAAAAGTTCAAAATCAATTGTTACAATTAATTGTTACACAAACTCCCCTCAGTTATTGAGTTCATTATTTGGGTTCATTGTACAGTTTATAAGTTGTTCTCAAGTGTTACTGTTATACATTGAATATAATATGAAATATCTATAAAATATGTGATACTTAGTAAAGGGTCGTTTTAGGCTTTTCACCCGTTAAAACAAAGCAGTGTCTAATAATGACCAATTGTTACTGAGCGGTCAAACAAACTGGTTGTCTTTCCCCAAAAGGCCAAAAGACCTGTGGAGATAAAAAAAAAAGAAAAGAAAAGATTGTGTGATTCTGACCAGCAAAGGGAACCAGTATCTCACTGGAAACACACACCAACGTCATTGTACATTGACATGTCTTGTTGATGTGTTCGGATATGTCACTGTCATATTTCCCTGCATCAGTACACATAGATAGATAGATAGATAGATAGATGGATAGATGGATAGATAGATATACTTTATTAATCCCTGAAGGGAAATTGGGTCGTCATAGCAGCCAGGTACATTTAAATACAATAAAATACAACAATAGAATAAAATACTTAGATAGAAAAGATAAAAAAGATAAATAGGTAGGTAAGATGTTGTGACACTGTTACGTACAGTTGACTTTCTAAAACCCTGATGTTCTCTACATCCTGATCCCACAGAGCTCTCTTCACCGGTGCCTGGGCGACCTCAAACAAGCAGATGTATACCATCCCTGGGGTGACGCCCGAAATGATGCTGCTCATCATCAACTACGCCTACACCCGCTCCATTACTGTGACAGAGGATAACGTGTTGGAGGTTTTAGCGACTGCAGATCAGTTCTTGGTCCCGGGGATCATACACGCCTGCTGCCTGTTCCTGGAGGAGCAGCTGTGCCCCAAGAACTGCATCAGCATCTGGAGGCTGGTGGACTTCTACCACTGCCCTGAGCTGAAGGACAAAGTCTTCTATTACATCCTGCACCGCTTCGAGGAGATAGTTTGTGCCTCACAGGAGCTCCTGGAGCTCTCTGTGCGGCAGCTGGGTGCTATCGTTGAGAACGATCACCTCAACGTGAAACGAGAAAACACAGTGTTTGAGGCCGTTCTGGGCTGGATTAACCACCTGCCTGAACAAAGACAACTGTACATCTCTGTGCTGTTGCGCAAGGTAACTAGTCAACTAGTCAGCTTAAACGTACAAGGGGTTTTTAACTGGTTAATACCTTTTTATATGAGCTAAAACAACCACAAAATGCCCTAGGGAGTAGTTCAGGGTGGATAGTTGGATGTATTGAGCGAGGCTAACCACATCCTGACTCCACCTCCTTACTTATCACATAATATCGATGGAAGATTGATATCTAATTCCTCTTATATTTGTCCAGGTGCGGCTAGGCTTGATGACCCCTAGTTACCTCCAAAACAACGTGATAGACAACGCTGCGATAAAGGACTGCGTCGAGTGCACGTCCATCATCAATGATGCAGTGACAGCATTTATGGATTTTAGGGCCAATGGATGCTCAAAATCTGTCTACACTAACCTGCTGACCCGCCCACGCTTGCCGTCTACCATTTTACTGGTC